CGCTGGCAAGGGCGACCTCGGTTACCAAGCGGCCAAAGATATAACCATTTTACTCCTATCAACGCCCAGATGGGTGAAGTCTTGACGGCCATAGAGGAGAAGTTGGAAAGCAAGGAAGTCACGTGGCCAGCGACCAGGTTCGAGGGACCGACCAAACCTAGATCGAATAAATACTGCAGATTCCATAGGGATTATGGACATAATACAGAAGATTGTAGACACTTGAAAGATGAGAGCGAGCGTCTCATATGGGCAAGGCACTTGAAAGAATTTGTCATTCGCGATCGACCACGGGGTAAAGAAAGGAGAAGGTGCAGGGAAGATTCTGTGGCGAGGAGCGATAAGGACAACGATAGAGAAGACGATGGTAGGAAAGAAAGAAGGAGACGACAAAACGATGGTCGAGAGGAGCTGAGGGATGAGGTGCCTGCGAAAAGAGGCACGATTTACATGATCTCAGGAGGGCCAACGGATGGGGATTCAAATAATGCGCGAAAGGGGCATGTGCGGGCGGTGAAGCGTAAAAGAGAAGAGGTCAGGATAACTGGTCGAATGCCTGTGATTAGCTTTCGAGCAGAAGACGCGGAGGGAATCTTGTTACCCCACAATGACGCACTGGTCATCACGGCCGAAGTGGCAGGTTTCGATGTGAAAAGAGTGTTCATCAACACGGGGAGCTCAGTCGACGTGATGTTCTACGATTATTTTGCGCAGATCAACAAACACCTGAATCTGGAACTGAAACCGGTGGCGACAGCTTTATATGGGTTTAACGGTGGAGAGGTAATGCCAATGGGCGAAGTGAGCTTGACCGTAGCATTGGGATCGGGCGACGCGAGGAAAGTAAGGATGGTCCGGTTTGTAGTGGTCGGAGCAGAATCGTCTTACAATATCATTTTAGGGCGGACAGGTTTAAACGCGTTCCAAGCAGTCGTGTCTACCTACCACATGACGATCAAGTATCCTGTGGGGGAAAATGTAGGCGAGATTGCAGGGGACCAGCTCACGTCGAGGAGTTGCTATCAGACCACAGTCAGTAACAACAAACATATAGCGGAAAGGCAGTTGAAAGGCAATGAAGTGAGGCCTGATCGACCGGGAGGATCACGAGTGAAAGAGGAGAGAGGAGGACAAGGCAATGGGAAGGAGAAGATAGACATACAGCCCGGAGAGGAGGTCGAGGAAATTCAAATGGTGCAGGGATGCGATGACCGAAAATTCAGAATTGGGAAAGATTTGGGAGAGCCAATGAGGTCGAAGCTGATCAGTTTGATAAGGGAATTTACGGACGTTTTCGCGTACACAAGGGATGAATTAACAGGAATCGAGGCCAGGGTGATCGAGCACAGACTTAATATTGATCTCAGTGTGAGACCGGTGAAGCAAAAGAGAAGGCATCATGGCGGGAGATGGACAAAATCATTGAACAGGAG